TCTCTGCCTTTTCCCTTGAGACAGTCTCTGGCTGGGGCTGGAGCTTACCATTTTATGGCTAGGCTAGCTAGCCGGCAAACTCCAGTAATCCCTCTATCTCAGAACCTTTCCCCGAAGCCCCACCCCAGCACGGGAATCACAGGTGCAGCAACATCTGGATTTCTTTTAACATAAGTCCTGAGTTCTGACCTCAAGTCTGCATGCTCGCACAAGCACACTTAGGTACTGACCATTTCTCCAACCCCTTCGCAAGCATTTCTACGGAAGAGTAAGAGAATTCTATAATGACTTCAAATAAACATGGAAACAGACAATGTAACTATAAAGAGTGGCCCAGGAGAAAGAATTAATAAACAAATCAATATGAAAAGAGAAGAACAGACAGGAAGAGGGACCCAAAGGAAGATACGGAAAAACAGAAGATCAAAAAGCCTTGAATGGTTTCATACATTAGCTGAATCAGAGAACACAGCATCTTCTGAAATCAAGACATAAAGAAAGTCATATTTGTCTCACATAGCTAATATAATTCTCATAATGAAGCCAACGGCAGTATGAAGATCTGAATGTGCTTATCTACTTATAATCTTAATTGCAAAATTCTAAGTAAAATATTAATAAGCTTAACTTAGTCAGTATATCAAAATGTTAAAGCATGGCCAAGAAGAATTTATCCCAAGAATTTTTACAGCAGTTTTAAGTGAGGGAAAATCTCCAATCCTTTGTACACAGAGAACACTAAAAGCACAGGACCCTACAACAGGCAAAGAAAATGAAAACATGCTTTTATCATTCTTCAAAGATAAACATTGTTTTGATAAAGACCTCAGCAAAATAAACCCTTGCCCTTGATTTGTTTTAGATAACCAAGCAGTCACAAAACACTTGAGCAGGCAAAAAGTAAATGTGCTTGCCATGCCCTGACCTCAGTTTGCTCCTGGGACCCACAGAAAGGTGGAAGGAGAGAGCCAACCCCACAAAGTTGTCTTCTGACCTCCCTGCCTGAGCCATGGCACCCACACCCCAACCCAACCCCTTCAATTAAGTTTCAATTCAGAACTGAATCTTCACAAAGATGATTCGTCTGTGTACAAGACCGTCTGCTCAGAGGAAGCTCCTACTGACGGTACTGGGAAAGGTAGGAACTAACGCAGTACTCCACAGTCACCACGGTCACGTCTACTGGTTACAGACCAGCCTCAGCCTGGAACTGAGGGACAAGGACATGTATAGAAGGTGATAGGATAATCACAACAATAACAAAAGAGGATCAAGAACAGAACAACAGCAATCATGCATAGAACTAATGTATTGCTTCATTAGGACCAGTAATGAACAATTTTCTTAAAAGGATCCCGTTCATGAAAGTGACCAACAAACACACAAACAAAAAAACCTATGCAAGACCTAAGAATAGGAAAATGAAGAAATGTACAGAGAAAATTATGGACCCTAGAAGACCCTCTGAACAAGGATGAACAATGTTCTTACACCTAAACTCTTCTTAATTAAAAGTTTCAGATAGGCTTAAAATACCTATCAACCCAATGCAACCCCCTCAAAACTCTGAGGAGTTTTCATCAAATGTGCTACACACATAGCATATGATCCCTCCACAAAGTAGAGTGTGTGTCAGTGAGCAAAATCATACTGACAACATCACAGTGGAGCCATCTTGGCAGTGTGTCACGCGCCAGTGTTGGAGGAGCCCCTGCTTCAGATTTACCAACAATGAAGACTGAGGGAAGTCACAGGAACCCTGCCACAGGCAGGAATCTCAAAAATCTAAGTACATAGAAGGAGCAGGAAGTAGGCTGCGGTGTCCTTCGGCTGCAGTGAGAGCAAGCTAGGCAGATGCTTTGTCAATGGGTATAAAATGTTTAATTACACAGGAGGAAGGATGTAAAGAAGTCTACCATAACATGGTTTCTATAGTAAATAGCAACATATGTTCTCCAAAACATTTCTTAATAACAGAATTGGAAGGGATATAATAACATAATAATCAACAGCTCCAAAAAAAAAAAAAAAACCCTTACGCTCTAAAAAAAAAAAAAAAAGATAAAACCAAGGGAATGAGAAGAAAGCACAAAGACTAAGAGAAAAAATGTCCTTCAAAAAGCAGATCTGGACCGGGGAGATGGCTCAGTGGATAAAACATCCAGTGCACAAGTATAAGGACCCGAGTTCAAATCTCCAGAAGCCAACTAAAGATGAGCATGGGAAGACACACCTGAAATCCCAGAAATACAGAGACTGAATGTGGAGACAGAATCCCCAGAAGTTCCAGGGCCAGCTAGCCTGACTTATACAGAGTGAACAACAGGGAACATCTTTAAATAAAGTGGAAGGAAAGAAGAGGCGTCTGAGGTTGTTGTCCTCTGATCTCTGTATCATGCATTCATACACACATACACACACATGCACACATATACACATACGCATGCTACATACATACACACATAATACACATACTATACACATACACACTATACAATCATGCACACATACACTACACATACATCCACACACTATACACATACACACACTACAAACACATATACACATACACACATACACACTATACGAACA